CACCAAATGTTGTCAAAATAACTTTCAGGATAAGACAAAATCAATAAAAGGAAGTTTCCATTAAGCCTGTCCATTTACTTATAACTTGTCAGTTTTGCTGTGTCCTCAGATCCTGGTTCCCAGTCCGGACAGACAGACCCAAGGTGAACCTAGGACGTGTGCAGTGAACCTTTCAGATGGACCGTGTGTAACCGCTGTCATTAAGAGAACAGAGTGCCGTACACAACGTCATTCATTCCTTCTTGCAGCCAGGGTTTGCCTTTCTCTTACAAAGTCGTAGGATGGTAACACCCACCCACATGAATCTCAGGGGAACCACTGTGCATAATGTTAATATTAGGAGGAGCTCTGTCATCAGAGTCCGACGCTGGACTCAGTAAAAGGAATGAAAAATCATTCCTGGGCTGAGGCCTGGGTTTGGCTCAGAGCCTGGCTCAGCTATCAACTAAAAATTAATCCCAAACTCTTCCCCCTGAAGATGCTTCAGGTTTTGCTTATTTTTGAAGATACGACCTGGAGTTAAGACTTATTTTCTTGAAGGAATGAATTCTAAAGCCTACTACTTGTCTCCCACTGGACAGAATAGAGAATAGATGATTCTTTTGTCATCTAAAATCAGGGATTAGGGCCTTGGCTGGTGTGGTTCAGTGGGCTCCGTGCTGGCCAGTGAGCTGAAAGGTTGCCAGTGTGATACCCAGTCAGGGCACACGCCTGGGCTGCCTGCGGGAGGCACCCGGTTGATGTATCTCTCACACATTGATCTTTCTCCCTCTCTTCCTCTTGCTCTAAAAATAAATAAAATCTTTAAAAAATAAGTAAAATTAGGGACAATAAGGAAGAAAAGCTAGACTCGGAATTACCTTCTAATAGTAAAAAGCAAGGAAAAAAGTTTCAGTACCAGGTGCTGCCATGCCTGTAGCTACAAACCCACATGCGGAGTTCTCTAGTACTTCAGTCCTTCTGAGAAGTCAACTGTCTGTAAACTACACAGAAGACTACCGTAGAAGTCGCCTAGAACTACGGCAATCCCAAATCACTAATTCCTTTTAAAAAGATCATCAGCTTTTATTGTATGGACTGTAGTCCCCCCTTACGGGCTGCAGTCTCTCCCCTTATTTTCCTCGGTTTCAGTTACCTGCAATCAAACTCGGCCTGAAAATATTCAATGGAAAATCTCATAAAGAAGTAATCCAAAAGTTTTAAACTGTTCGTCCTTCGAAGCAGCATGATGAAACCTAGCTCTGCCCTGCTCTGTCCTGCCCTACAGGTGACTCATCCCTCTGTCCAGGGCGTCCGTGCTGTCCCTGCTACCCGCCCTTTGTTAGTCACTCGGTGGTCCCCTCGGTTATCAGATCAACTCTCAAAGTAGCGTATTGCTTGTGTTTGAGTCACCCTTATTTTACATAATAAAGGCCCCAAAGCACAAGAGCAGTGATGCTGGCAATTCCAATCAGCCAAAGAGAAGCCAGAAAATGCTTCTTGTAAGTGAAAAGGTGAGTTTCGCATAGGAAGCTATTTTGAGAGAGGAGAGAGAGACCACATTCACAGTATATTGTTATAATTTTTCTATTTTATCATTAGTTATGGTTATTGAGCCTACTGTGCTGAACTTGTAAATTAAACTTTATCGTAAGTAGGTTATATAAGAAAACTTGGTTTTTCCCTGGACCAATTGATAATATTGCTCATAAGCAATATTGAAACATTTATATCCTTCCTCCCTACCTAATCGCTCCAGAATTCAGCAACTGTTCCTGAAGTCATGCCTGGACTCTGGATGTCACCAGAAAGCCTTAAGGCATTAAGATTGACTTTTGAAGCCACTAAAAGCCCCTTGGAGAAATGGCCTGGTACCTTGCTTTGTCACACAGCTCATGGCAGTCTTTCCAGGTCTGCAAATTACTGGAAAGTAAGAACAGAACTAACTGCTCCCTGCAGCCACAGGCGGAAGATAACACAGGAACAAACTGCAGCCTCTGGTTCCATCCCAACAGCCCGGGGCCACACAACAGCAACCTCTTTAAATCCAATTGTAATCCAATAAAAGCTCTAAATCTCCACCCCTCAAAGCTGGTGTAGCTCTCCACACCATGCCCCTCTCCTTTCTTGAAGAGTGAATAAAAACTTTATTCTTTACCAAAAAATAAAAAAAAGATTCCATCTCTGGTCCCACCCTCCAGAAATGCTAGGACTTCTCAGCACTGCCCCTCATGCACTGCATTCCTCGGCACACAGACTGGGCCCAAAGAAAATGGGAACTCACTTTGTGCAGCACCTCTTCTCTAAGCAGGACCCCTGGTAGGAACCTGCCTGCTTCTGACCACACTCCAGTGTCTTCAAGTAGCTGCCTAGAACCTACTATAAGCAGAGTTTTCAGTTGTTATGCAAAGGAGGGCCCATCTGGTACGTAAGTCATCTTGCAAAGACCTGATTCAGAAAGACCTGTGTAGGAGGCACGATTTTCCCATTCTGTCACTCAGCTCATCTCCTCCAGGTTGAGGAGGGCTGCTATTCATTCTGAGGCCACAGAAGATAAGGTCTAATCATGGCTCCTTTGCTGGGTATCCTGGTAAGTCCCAGTGAGGGTAAGGTGGAACGGGCTTAAAGGGCTGTCTCCTGGTTCTCCTAGGCTTCAGGATATACTGGGAATGAGTTACAAACACATGTGGTCATAAGACCAAAACAAGGCTAAGCAGAGAAAATGAGTATTTCAATAAAAAAGTGAATGCTTGCACCCCGCCTCCAAGGTGGCTACTGGGTTGACAGCACAAAATTCTGGCTTCTTTCTTTCTTTCTTTTTTAAAAGATTTTACCATGTATAATGTGTGCCCCCATTTTGTACACATTATACATGGATTATAGCCTTCGTTATACCTATGTATAACACACACCCTTATTTTTCCCTCAAAAATTTAGGCAAAAAGTGTGCATTATACACAGATACGTCATTGCTTCTCAATAGGTTGCCTCTCACCCCCCACCCAAACTGGGGACCCAGCCTGCAACCCAGGCATGTGCCCTGACTGGGAATCAAACCAGCAATCCTTTGGTTCACAGGCCAGCACTCAATCCACTGAGCCACACCATCCAGGGCCTGGCTAACTTCAAACTGGAAAGAGGACCTGCCTGGAAAGAGGGAAAAGCTACCTCATGAGTCAGGGGTAGTGATGACTTCCCTCTCTGAGCCCAGTCTATCGGCTGGTCTTCTGAACCTCTGCCTCCTACTGGACTCTGCCTCCTTTCCAAGCGGCCACAGAGGTCCTTGGCCAGCACATCTATGAACAACGGAGAATTCATTGAAACCTGGGATTATCTTTTTGGCACTCTATCGCTTGAGAGCTAGTGATTAGAAGGGGAAAAAAAACAAAACTTCATCAACAAAGTAGCATTTTCATTTCAGCTGTTCCTGGGGGCAAAACAAAGCAGTAAAGAGAAATCCTAGATTGAAAGCTTTGTGGTTATCTCCGCTTCTCATTAAAGTGGCCCTGATTATAATCACACCTACGATTACAAGATTTAACACACCTGGTCTCAAGGATGCCACAGGAAGAGGAATCATACATCCATCCCATCCCATTTCCTTTTCTTTATTCACCGAGTAAGCACAATTTATAAATTTCAGTAAGTGCAGACTAGAGCTATTTTGGAGACTAGGAGAGAGGTGTTTCATTCACATGGCTTTTTGCAAGTGACAAAAATCTTCCATGGTCACAAATTATTTCAGTGCTGGTGAGACAAGCAGCGCTGCTTTCATTGGCTACACGCGGGTGTGAGAAATCTGGATAGTGTTTCTTTCCATTTCTTCTCTCGCTTTACAAACCAGACACTTTGCTCTGCCTCAGTAAGAGTGTGTTGCTCTATTTTAGAATTCTGTAGACTTATTCTCACAGTATTGTATCATAGTTTTATGTAGATTTTTATCCTGAAACAACTTTACATTTACAGGTAAGTTGTGCAGACAGCACAAAGTATTCCTGTACACGCCTCACCCTGCTTCCCGTACTGTTAGCAACTTGTATAACGATGGTTTATTTGTCAAGAGTTTTGTAGATCTTGACAATGGATGTGAAACACTCACTCTTTCTTAACTCCCCCTTTACAGAAGATTCTCAACAAGATCAGTGCGTATTCCACAGCAACTTAATTATCTGAATTACCGAGTTATGATCTGTACGTCCTCCACTCCCATCAAGGTCCTAGATAATAAGTAGGGGGTAACTAATGAGTCCAAGCTTGTACAAAAATGGTGTCAGAAACTTGATATGGCAAAATTCCAGCATCAATAAAGCCTGTGTGTCTGACAAAACAATCACTCTTCTAATGGCTTGGCTGACACCTGGTTAAATACTGATGTGCCAGCCACAGATGAGCATTGTGGATGCCAGTAAGTGAATTATTTATGCAACCTCCCTCTACAAAGTCAACTGGGAATGAATGTCCATTAAGATCAAGAAGGATATTAATTTAGAGGTCACTCATTGTATGTATTAGCTCACACACATACAGACATAAATATTGTCTTCCTGTGTTTGCCATACACTGGGGAGAAAACCAGCCAAACCCACCTGGAGGAGGAAAAAAGTTTAATTTATGCAGCGACTAAAATCTCATGGATTGGACTCTTAGCTAGAAAGGGAACATTCTAAATGAGGCCCCTTAATAATTTAGAATGAACTACTATGGGCCAGGAAGACAAGCCACTAAAGTTCAGGCTACAGAGGCAGGCTTACTGCATTCTAGCTAGGTCACCTTGGAACCCATCCCACTGAGGAGAACGCCAGGACTCAGTCTCAATCTATAAATGTATGCTCTGGTTCTTCTGTAGCAGTTAGTGTGTAATTTGCCTACTATGTACAATTCCCTGCTACAAAATCCCTGCTTATGGATTCATCCACATGAGTCAACCCAGGTGAAAGGTTTGAAGCCTGCCCTGGTGAAAGGAAGACTGATAAACAAGAACCAGAGGCAAGGAAACTGCAAATAGGAAGAGACTGGCTTACCTCTGTAGCTTTCTGGCTGAGTCCCCGAAGCAACAGCACAATCACATGGATGGCAGCTCTGCGCACTTGAACTTCCTGGTCTGTTTTAGCCACGGCAATCAGACAAGCTGTTACCTAGAATAGTGGGGGAAGAAGTCAGTGAAACTCAGGACTGCACAATTACATAAAGCCTCTCAACTATGTTCCACTTTCTACACATCCATCAGGAACAATCTGGCTCAGAGAGGGGTGGAGAGTTTCCATTCTCAAGAAAGAGGAAGAGATCTAGTGGTAGAGATCTTGATTAGTCTTTCTGGGAGAGAAAAAGCAAAACCTGGTTTGTAATTCAGGAGAGAAGTGAGGGAGTGGGAAGGGATACATGTATACAGTCCCGTGCAGTTTAAGGATGGGGATACCTGCTGAGCAATGCATCGTTAGGCAATTGTGTGGCTGTGCGAACATTAGAGTGAACTTCCACAAACCTAGAGAGTATAGTCTGCTACACACCTGGCCATACAGGGTGCCACCATCTCATATGGGGTCTGTGGACTGAAATGTCATTTATGTGGCATTAGGACTGTATAATAAAAGTATGGCCAAATGCAAATATTTCCTCAAAAGTGGGAAGATGTGGTTCTGGACAGGTGGCTCAGTTGGTTGTGTTTATCCCGTACACCGAAAGGTTGCAGGTTTGATTCCCTCACATAATGAGGTTGCAAGTTTGGTCCCCGGTTGGGATGCATATGAGAAACAAGCAATTGATGTTTCTCCCCTCCTTCCCCACTTCCTCTCTCTTTAAAATCAATAAACATATCCTTGGGTGAGGATTTTTAAAAAGGTGGGAAAAACAGTTACTTGCCCTACTTTGGAGACACTGAATCAGAGGAAGAAAAGATGGTCCAAAACACAGCAGCATCTAGGGATTGAGGACCATGGAGAGTTAGCTAAGCAGGCTTCAGAGTTCATGTTCAGGCCTGGCATAAGTAAGAATGTGTCACCAATGAAAGTTTCTGCCCAGGGACAGAGAAACACACAAATATTCAAACTGATCTTCTTTAGCATGTCCAGACTTCCCAATCTTACAAATCCAGCTTATACTCCATGTGAGTCACTGGGAACTAATTTCAGAGACTCCCTGCCTGGGCTGCTTCTTTTGCAAAATAGGTCTTTCCGTGCTCATTTACTTTAAAAAATGGCTCTATAACAGAAAAGACTAGAAATTACCCACAAAACAAGGTACCAGATATATAGTCAATAATTATATGTAATAAAATGAGAGTTTCTATACCCTGTACCAGTAACTCAGGCATAAAAATATTCCAAAACCTCAATAAAAAGATCACACTAAAAACAATAGCAACAAACCTTTCTGAGACACTTGTAAAAGATTTAAAAAGAAAAAGCAGCCCTGGCTGGGGTAGCTCAGTAGATTGAGTGTGGGTTGCGAATCAAAAGGTTGCCGGTTCGATTCCTGGTCGGGGCACATGCCTGGGTTGTGGGCCAGGTCCCCAGTGGGGGCCATGTGACAGGCAACCACACATTGATGTTTCTCTGCCTCTCTGTCTCCCTCCCTTCACCCACTAAAAACAAACAAACAAATAAATAAATAAAATGACTTAAGAAAAAAATAAAAATTTTAAGACTGTGACCTGTGGCAGCATAAGTTGGAAGGCAAGTAAACTATTCAATTGATCTCTCACATGCTTTGTTATTGGATTTACTGTGTGATGCTGTTTCTTGGCCAACTGTGGAGGAATTTTTAACCATGGTAAGAAAATAGCCAGATTGTGTATTTGGAAACATGTATAAATACATACTATGCTTAAAGAATGGTTTTTTAAAAGGTTTTTTAAAAATACAGGCACAAATGAAGACATAGGCTTGAGCAGAAATTTTAACTATGTGAGTTGTATCTTTCACAGCTTTCAAGCAGTTGGGCATAGTTCAAAGTGTCTAATTAATCAGCCATGGCAGAGAGATGAGAAGTAGCTTGTTCTTAAATATAATTGCATCTGTGGTGCACTGGCATTGAGTCACATGGTACAGCTATTAGACAAATCTGCAGCTGGCAAGTAAAGGGAAATCCCAGGAAGGTTCAACTCTCTGGGGGCTGTTTTTCAATGAGACCCCGCAAGCTGCTCCACCCTTGACCTGGGACACCCTGACCAAAAGCCATCAGTGGCTTCCATGCCTCTGGCATTAACAGTGGAAGCAACTCAGTCCTTGGAGGAATTCCTTGGGCGGCCTCCAAAGAGGCAACAATATAACAGCTGCCTCTTCCCGCAGGCTTAGTATTTACAAGGTAAGAGCTGAAATCAGAGAAACAAGTTAGAGCTAGGTCTGGGTATTTCTTGACACATGACTCTTTAGCTCATTCTTTTTTTTTTTAACATTTTATTTTTTTGAAGATCTTATTTATTTACTTTTCAAGAGGGGAAGGGAGTGAGAAAGAGGGGGAGAGACGCATCAATGTGTGGTTGCCTCTCCTAGGCCCCTCACTGGAGACCTGGCCCATAACCGAGCCATGTACCCTGACTGGGAATCGAACCAGTGACCCTTTGGTTTGCAGGCCAGTGCTCAACCCACTGAGCCACACCAGTCAGGGCAAGGTTACTTATTCAGTCTGATAACTAGAGTATGAAAGCCAGCACAGGGCCATGTAATATGCAGGCACTCCCAAGCCTCTTTGCCCACTTCCCCCTAGGTTTTAGTTTTGGGCCCATCTTTCCAGCCTTGGCAGACCAAGGCTTCCTGGTCTAGAACCCTGCTAAGACTGGGCTTTGTCACCTCTGTTTTATTCACCATGCCAAGGAGACCACGCTCCTGCCTCATCTCTCAGTGTAAGGCCAGGTCTAACGATCAGGCATTTGTTCTCTAATTGGGATAGGCAAAGGCATCCTGCCTAGAGAGGGGCTTCTGCAGCAAGGCCAGCTCTTGAATGCCTGTACCACCTTGAAGGTATGACTCACAGAGGTGCTATGAGTGATTTATGCACCAGACTATACAAAGCCCATCTGCAATCAGCCAGTCGAGACAATCTGGGAGAATCCTGTGAACAGGAGAGCGTTCATGAAACTTCCTCAATACTTCTGCCACAAACACCCAGGTCTATGAAGTATATGATGGTCAGTTATGCAGAATGTTTTTAAAGCATCAGAATTTTAATATGACCTTACAGATATCACCTAGAGATAAGAAAGGCCTTCTGCTTTTTTGGTTAAGCTCCCCAAACCAACCTGTAATGATGCCCTTCTGCAAGCCAGTGAGACAGACCCCTCGACCAGCACTAGAGCAGGGAGGCTGTGTGGCCAGTCTCTTCCACCTGTCCAGTCTGAACAAGTCACTCCCACGGCTAGTCTCTCTAACCTCCAACCCCAAGGACATACTTAACACTGCCCTCCACCCCTAAAAGCCTTGGCAAATAGACAGATGATGTCAGGTCTTTACTAATTTATGAACTGGTATAATATTTCTATTCCACTTCTGAATCCTCCCAGAGGACAGAAAGCCATTCATTCTGTGTGATCTTCATGTCGCCTGCCCTAAGGGTCAACGTACCTATTTGAATAAACCATACTATGTAAGGCTTTTTCTTCCTTGGCTAAATTATGTAAATCATATCCACTTTTGAGAGCCAGACAGAGAGAAAGATGATTGCTTTGGAGACACTAAAGGTCAGTGTAAGCAATTCGACACTTGATAGGTGCCAACAAAAATAAGGAACAACATCACTTCCCACACAGCTGGCACACACCAAACATGATCGGAACTATATAAATAGGGAAAGTACAAATGGCAAGATTACAAAAAAAAGAAATAGAAAAGGAAAAATAACCTAGGAAAATTCTAGAAGGGAAGTACCAAAGATGAGAGGTATGTATTAAGAAAGCATGATTTCAATTTTCCAACTGCATCCTCATCCCTCTTCCTAACACTCCATTGTGAAAATTCAGTTGCTCTGCTAACTAGTCTGAAACTAGACCATCTGTCCCTTTACACTGAAAACTAAAAAACCTTAACGGCAAAGGCAGTGCGCTCGGCCTGTTCAGTTAACCTGCCAGGAAAGAGCCCTGTGCTGGCTGCTTTGGCTTGTAGAGGTTTCCCAGGACATCCGCTGAGTCCGCATCTCAGGGCTCTGCGCGCCCTCCCACTGCACACACCCTGTCGCTTAGAAAACCGCACTGGCTGAGGAAAGTGGGTAACAAATTCAGACCACGCAGCGGGATGGGAGGTGGCAGCTTTGCATCAGACCTCAAAGCTCGGCTTCGTGGGCGCCACAATGAGCGCGCGCTGCTCCTGCGCTGTCACCCCGGGCATATCTCATTATTCGCTGCACTGAGGCTGGGCCTCTCACTGTGGTTGACATAAATCATATTTGCTTATCACAGAAAACGATGAAGAAAGAGCCTATCAAGATTTGGTTTCAAGCAACATAACTCTTGACAAGAGTGAGAAGAAATTGGGAAAAATAATGATGCTCTCCAAACAAGTTAAAGCTTGACATCAACAGAGAGGGGAAACCTGAATTCCCAGTATGGAGAATGTGGAAGAGTTGATCTTGTCCTTTACATTCCTTCCCTGCCAGCGAGCACTGCCACAGCACGGACAGTCTGCAAATCTGGACCCCGCCTGACCAGCTGGATGGATGGCTCTCTTCGGATACCTGATGGCTGTAACCTTGACCCCTAGATCAGATCAGTTTAGGAGATCCTATGGTTAGTTCAATTTTATATCAAAACAGATTACGCTTCTCCCCCTCCTCTGCCTGGCTGATACTTGACCACCCTAGCACTTCTGAGGGGCCTAGCTCCGGATTCCCTCAGCCCCCTGTGCTGGTTCTCTCTAGTTCACTGTCGCTGTCCTTTCACACTCCACTGAGATTTCCCCAGGGAGACAGACTGGGTCCTTTATCTGTGTCCTCTAACATACCTGACATCTGTCAGATGCTAATGAAGGAAAATTCCTTCAGACTGCAGCCAAAGACAAGTTGTCCCAAAATTAAAGTTCCTTCTCTACCAGTACACAGTGGGATAAGCATTTCTGAGATGACAAAAGGCTTCCAGAGCTCTCATGGGACACTGAAAGAATGGTCATCAAAGAAGACACAACAATCTTTAAAATAAATTAGATCACTT